GTGGCTGAAAGCCAAGCAAACAAACAGATAAGGAACTTAGCAGCAAGTCCGACACACCTTGGCAGCAATCCAGACTGCCAAGTTAGTTAACGTTCTCTTTAGTCAAAGCGTTGACTTCTGCAAAAGGTGCGTGTCACAAGCAGTCTTTTTTAGAGTCTGGAGAGGAGCCTCATAACCACCAGCTGAGCGCAATTATCTCCTGTAATTGCGTAATTGTTCTTGATGTAGCTCTTCGATGGCGTGCATCCAGGAACAACTCACTGCTGTTTTCTGGATCACTCTCCCTTGTCTCCTCCCCATTGGTCCAAGGCTCAAGCGCCACCTGGTGGCCAACCGGTCTCCTCTGCGCCCTGCTCAGAGTCGGAACCCTGTCCAGGGTCCTCCACATCCTCCAGGGCCGACTCATAGGGCCCCTCACTGTCAGAGTCTGGTGGCAGCTCCAACGGCTCCTGCTGGGCCACAACAGAAGTCATAGAGAAATAGCTATATACGTGGCTTCAGGGCATTCCCAAAACAGTGCATCTTCACCATAAGCTCTGGAAACTCTTTCAGTGTGGAAAACTCATCCCTGTTAATATATGTGTGTGAACTTCCAGATCCTCTGTAAATTAGGATCTTTTGCACAATCTCGGTTATGCAGATTCAAAGGGCTTTGCTCTCACAAGCATTCCCACATTATTTCCCGAATGCGGCTTCTGCTCCCTAGCTCTAACATTTGTATCCCTACTGTCTCCCTTCCACTTTATTTCCTCCTGTTCCTCCTCCCTTTAATTCTGCTCCACCTGTTATGATGATACCCATTACAATGGTTTAAATGCCCTCTGCCATTCTCCCACTGCAACCACAGTCCACACTTCTCCCTTGCTTTACTGCATTCCTGAATTATCCAGATAAAGAATGGGTTCTGGAGAAAGACTGCCTGCCCACCCTTGTTTCTTTTTTCTCCAAACCATCTCAACTCCATTACTTGCCTCTGAGTTAATGAGTTGTTGATCTGTCTCTACATGTGCCCTTTCTTGTCTTTTTTTTTTTTTTTTTAGTTTCCCAGAGTGCCCAGAACGACTGGTGACCATTCGGGACAAATTGCTTCAGTATGAACTGTTGGAACGTTGTGTCCCAGTGATGGTAAGAGAGGGAGCAGATGAGAACAAGCAAGAATTTGTGGACAGGTTCAGGATAGATTCCAGTGATGCAGTAATTAGAGTAGAAGTAGGCAACCTGCAGCTCTATCCAACGTGGGTTTTTTTTAGTCCTCTGAACTCCATTTCTTTCTTTATTGGGAGGTTGTTAGTTGCAAAGTTACGTCCGATCCATTCTGGGTCCTCCAGGCCTTCCTGTCCTCTACCATCTTCTGGAGTCCATTTAAGCTCACATCTACTGCTTCGATGACTCCATCCAGCCACTTCATTCTCTATCCGTCCCATTCTTCTTTTGCCCCTTTGCTGGAATCTTTCCCAGCATTAGGCTCTTCTCCAGTGAGTCCTTCCTTCTCATTAGGTGGCCAAAGTATTTGATATTGTGAGGTGGGAGGCATAAAAAATAGCCAGGTTCCCCTAACAGATAAGTCATTTTAAATAAATAAATTAAATTTAGCATCTAACAAAGCGGGCTGCCCCCAGCCACCAAAAAATTCCCACCCCAGCTTAGAGAATCAATGTTTGGGGAGAAAAATGTTAGACATCTACAACATGTCCTGAGGTCCTTGAAGAAGTCGGGGAATGAACATGTGAGAAGCAATCAGTAGAGAATGAAATATTTGTATTATTATCTCTCCTTGCAGGGCCGAGAAATTTCTGAGGAGGAGATTCTCTTGGCTCACAGGTGAAAGCAAATCTTGGAGTTGTTGCAGAGCTGAGGGGTGGAGAGGCAATGACTGAGCTGCAGCTGAACATGTGATTATCTCTTTCTTAACAGTCAAGAATACTTGGCCAGCATGAAATTGACTGAAACAATGAGCGAGACTGAGTTAAGGTCTCTGGCAGATACCTTTGATTCTGTTTACCTGCATCCAGTGAGTATCTTCAGAGTTATGTTTAAAGGCAGAAACGTCTAGTTTTTGTAACTAAAATACTTTTGGCAGGCTATACTCTTTGGAAACTTCTAGTGATTTTTTTTCCTGAACTACAAGCAGCACTGAATTGGGGAATGTCACTCATTCTAAGGCTGTGTTACACATATCCTTGCCTAATAGCAATAGCAGTTAGACTTATATACCGCTTCATAGGGCTTTCAGCTCTCTCTAAGCGGTTTACAGAGTCAGCATATTGCCCCCAACAATCCGGGTCCTCATTTTACCCACCTCGGAAGGATGGAAGGCTGAGTCAACCCTGTACTTATCTCCTGTGTTCATGTCCATGTTTATACTTATACCTGTTATCTTGTACATGTTTGACAAACTAAATGAATAATAACAAAAATATTTTTCTCTGCAAAGAAAGCTCATGGCAAACCCAGATCACTCTGTGTTGATTTTCAAGCATGCCAGTGGAAAGGTGAACTCCACAACAGCTGAAGCTTGTGGTAATCCTAATGGGCCTAGAATGCTTCAGAAGATAAGATTGAAAATTTGCACATCTTCATGGTCATAAATGAGTGGGTGCTACCTTGTTTATAGCCAGATCTTTTTATAATATCCTTCCTGCTTTGTAAATATGGCCACTTAAACCTTGCTCCCAGTGGTGACAACAGGAAGGTAGAATGATATTGTATTCCCCACCAGGATCATCTCACTGTGTGTTCTGGGACAGAAGTCAAGGCTGTGGCACACCCTGGATTCTGTGGGAACTTGCAGTGGTTTTTTGTCAAAGACTGACAAAGAAGAGGGGGGGATCACTTGAGCAGAGCCAATTTTCAGTC